GTATAACGGTTTGAAATTTCTTTCGAAACCACTTTGTAAAGCTTAAAAACAAATAATTCAGTATATCGAAGCGTAAAAGCGCCATAATAGTTACAGAAAAAATGCCAAAGAATTCTTATTTTTAAATTCTCATGTTATTCTTATGGCGAATAAGTAAACTGTTGTAAATTCCTGTAAAAGGAACTTATTTTGATTAAATTGTCAAATGCATTTATTTTACACTTAATTATTAACATTTCACACTTTTTACCCTGTCTCAAACTCTTTTTGATGGGTCTGTAATTGACGGGTACCTAACCTTAATATTACAAGTGGCCACCGCGCGGAGTTGGAATCGGCCCTAAAAGTGACCACTGCGCGGAGTTGGGCTGAACCCTTCGGGGGCCATAAAACTTTTCCTCGGATTAAATTTGACCACTGCGCGGAGTTGGGCAATCCCCGTCTGCTGTGGTCGTGGTTGTTGTTGGTTCGGTTTGTGGTTGTTTTGTGTTTGTGTTTTCTTGTGTTTGTATCTGCTGTGGACGTGCTCAATGCTCATAGTTGATGTAAGAATATTATTCTTGTAATTAAATTGTTGGACTAAGAAAACACGCTGGTTAAAATAGTTCATTATACGTTTTTTCTCGGTTTTATAGGAAGTAAGATGAATTGGTCTTAAACGCATTAGTCTATAACTATAAAATTTACCAAATAGTAAAATTTTTAAACTTATGTAACTTGCAATTAATTTTGGTAAAACTAATGGCTTTTGTGGAATTTGATTTCAAATATTTTGAATAGCCGTTATTTGTAAATGTTTTCAACATTTGTATTCTTATTTTGCAAAATGATATCGGCTAATACAATAAAGATTTTGCCAAATTTCAACGCTGTAGCTCAAACTGTTAAAGAGTTATGAATGTTTTTATAACAAAACACATACAGACAGACGATAGACGGAAAGAGATAGTAAATAACTATATTTGTATACAAATTGTATGGGTATTGTTTAAAGAGTCTTCATATAGACGTATCCTCGAGTTGGACAAGTTGTTCCCCAAGGAAGATTGCATGTTGTGAGGCTATATAGCAGAGGAATCCGCAGCTTCGGGGACCGGTTTTGCAAAGTTCAATGTGAAGGTCAACAAATTGGTTGCATTACGTTTGCCAGAATCACACCCCCTCTGACTTTATTGCTGGATAGAATTACTTTATTTATAAATATCTACTGTGGATCTGATGGTCAAAATAATACGAGATCCACGACCAATATCGATTTTGTTTAGATGAGATAAATAATTTGGTATCAATAAATCTTTAATGTATTGATTGCTCTTGTATTTGATAATGTGTAATTTAATACGTTTTCCCCCAATAATTTTTTTTTAAGTCTAGCGAAACAACAAATTACTTAATTAAAATTCGAAAACATTGCAGGAGTCAGTTGTCCATGTTTAACATCGTCTGATTGATTTAGCATTATTTTATAGCATTCCGGGTTTTAAACCAAATTAGAAATTTTACCACGTCGCGTCGATAGACTATCTACATAATAAAATAAAATAGCATAAAACGAAAAATCCTAATTCTTGGCACGCAAATGAGTTTATAGCTTCAAAACTATCGCATTGTTTTGTATTCCAACTCCAACCCAATAGGAACCATCATTAGCTGTGATAACAGCACGATATTGTACGAGTTAAATCTTTACCTTTTGACCTACGGCAATGAAAAAATATTTTGAAGTAATTTCTAAATAGTTAATATTTATTTAAATAATGAACATTAAGAAATAAACTATTGATAGCAAGGGGTAGGCATAATCCTAATCGAGCATAAAAGTGCAATCCTAATCAGTTTTACATATTTCTCGTAAGTAATCTTACATTTACCCACCCTATGTGAACACCTCCCGATACTGCTGTACTTAGTATGTTGAGGGATCATCGCCATGATGAATTATATAAATTATGATTGAAATTAATTATAATTTCCTGTTCTAGGAAAGTTCTCACGTCATATACTTATACACATTCAATGATGTGCCTAGTCGAATGTTAGTTTAGTCAAAAATACATCACCTAAGCTATAGTTATCGTATGCAAAATTCTTCTTTCAATTTTGCTTTATACACAAGGTTTTTATACACAAGGCCTACAAGGTTTAAGAACCTTGTAAATTTATTTTAGTATCATAAGAAGAGGATTGTGATTGCAATAAGATAAGAAACGTGCATGATGTGAAGAGAAGTCACGCATGGTTACTCAATGTAACCTTGTATGCTCGGGAATCTGCAGCATGAGCATTGAGCATTGAGCATTGAGCATTGGACTGTGTGAAGATTGCTGCATTCACTGAAATGTTTATCGTGAACATAATAACAATAGTCGAGCCGCATTCTGACATGTCTTAAGAGTTTCCCAAGAATAAACACCATCATGTTTTTTTCAACTGACAATATTGTTTTTATATTTATCGTCCTATAACTGAAATAATACACAGTGACGAAGGTACTAAATACAGTAAAAGTCTTCCACTGGTTTTGAAGTAAAATCATATTGTATAAAAAACATATTGAAGTCATATTGTACTTTTGGGTTAAAGCTGAAGATTTTGAACACTACACCTCTAGTTTCTATAGGACTCTATTTAAGGACAGTGGAATTATAGAGTGAAGACCGATTTTATAGCATTTTCAGTCTGTGAATCTAGCAGAGGTTATATCTATATTCTGTGATATATCACTCGCAAAATACAATACTTCAAAAGCGTAACCAGAGGATCGACAGACACCTCGGAAGACGTCTTGACACAACAAAGACCTCCAAATCAATTTATCACACGTAGACGTAGGAGTCTTGACAAGTTCAACGACCTTTAAAATAACGCCAGGTGACGCGAATCATTACGTAATATAAGCTAGACATTTATATCACTAGTATGCTTTAATTAGCTCATCAAGATGCTTGCTGAAATTTGGTGTACAAAACACTCAGCCAGAATGAATAGTTTTGTAGAAACTAGTACAGTACTAAATACGAGTACAGTTGAATGAAAGACACCGAATTTGAAAATTAGATCAGATTTTGTGGGTTTTTCTAATTCGTATCGTCCAGGGCGGGTTAAGGATTTGAATCCCCGACCTTAAAACGTGATTTTATGCAAGCAAAACGTGTTTCTAAAATTTTAAGAAATATCTTTTATATGTCTCTAAATAGCCTAAAATCGCGAGTCTACAGGTCTAAGTTTCTAACATTGCATACCCCCAAACCCCTGGTGTAGTCCCCCCCCCCTCTTAGGGGCATTCTAGTTACACCTATGAGACCAACAATAAAATTGTGTGAATTAGTTTGTTAGTTTATATGCCTATACACTACTATCAAGGCTTTTTGTGGAGGGAGATTTTCAATATAGACAGACCTCCCCGCGTTTAGAGACCATCCAATTTACTTTATTGCTGGATTGGGTCACCGGAATTTTATCCCTATGGGATTTTACCCCCTGGGCCAAGCTGACGTCACCTGAGCGCTCTAAAGTTTGTTCACAAGCGGAATTTTACCCCTGCGGATTTTGAAGTCCAATGAAAATAGACAGAGTGTGGTAAATTAGACTAGCAATAAAAACCGGAATTTTACCCCCTGGTTTGTGACGTCAGTTACGGCCAGGGGGATAAAATTCTGGCGACCCAAGATTGTATATCACAAGAAATGCTCTCGGTAACAAGTCACAACATGGGCAACATTAATGATTGGACCTCCAGGACAGATATATAATTCAATTAAAGCCATTTTATTTTATTCAGTACCGGTATTGCTGATGAGACCGTCTTGTCTTTTGCTCATGAGGATAACTTTAACTTCATAAAAAATACAATGAAAATTAACTACTCCTGTAGGTCCAAGTTTCACATTATATTCCAAGTTATTGATTCTACTTTATATTTATTTTGTAGTCCTCCAGGGCCATATTTAAAATGTTTTCTCCTATGTTATAATACATTTTCTTTGATGCTCATAAAAAATATAATTTTATTACTTATTTTATTTTTTTATTCTTCCTGGTTGAAGTATCACGCTCTATCCACTATATCATCCCCTATCATGAGTATACTAGTATACATATTATCTCCACATGCACATAAAAATTTATAAAATTGTAGACTAATAAAAACAAAAAAAATTTAAATTCAACAAAGAATTAAAATAGCTATTTTATTCATTCCACCACTCCACTGTTGAGGTTACTCTATACACATCCTAAAATGTTCAAACCTCTATACACATCCTAAAATGTTCAATCAATTCAATAAATAAATGTTGATTTATTTATTTATCGAGAATTGTCTCAACTAATTGCAGCACATGTCACATACTGTACAAAGTCATTCACTGGTTAACATGAAAGTGAAGATCGCAATGAAATACACTTAAAGATTCAAAAATATCCAAAGATTTTGTAGAACAAGAAGGACAAATTTAAAACTCAACTGCATCTAATATTAGGCAACAATAAATGTTAACCAAGATAAAGCAAGCTCTTAACAGTCAGTTCTGAGGTGTTGGTACTGGTGATAAGGCAATGCAAGAATGTCAACACTAACTGTAAATTGTACTGAGTTGCTAAACAGTATACAATGCTTGTCATATGCAGTCTTTTGATCGTTGTTTTTAAGATAAAGTACACCGTCATCAATCTTATATGAAATGCTACTATTGGTTCTTGGTTGTAAACAAATGTGTTTGGAACTGATAAATAGTATCAAAGAGTGGCTGATAAAATTGTTTACTAATATCCAAAATTATTTGTTGAGGAAGTTTCGACTAATTAGGATACCAAATATTTCCAAATATTCTTGTAAAAATTACATAGTTCATTCAAACTGAAGAGTTCATTCAGTAAGAGAAAAGGCATTGTGATAAGCCTGTTTAAAAACATTTTGTAAACAGATTAACAGGTATAATATTTTTCTAAATGTAATCTTTTTCAAATCCTAATATTTCTAAAACTTTGGATTCCTGCAGAATGAAAGGAGATGCCGGGCTGCTGTGTGGTCTTGGACCTTGGAGGCCATCCTGGTTACAGAAGTTCAACTCTTCCAAAGGCTTCCTGGTGGTGTACGGACTCCTGGGCACCATCCAGGCCATGTCCTACATCTACTTCGTGGCCACTCTCACTACACTCGAGAAGAGGTTCAAGATCTCCAGTAAAACCACAGGTAACATTGCAGTATAGTTGGTGATGGTGGATCGAACAAAACACAGTTGATAGAATAAAACATGATAAGTTTTGGTTCCTGTTCTTGTATAAGCTATTATTTAGGTATTCAAAACTCAAATTTGTTGTTGGGAAGAACAATAAACATTGAATGAAATTAGTTGAATGGAAAACAATAAACATTGAAACAGGTAATACAGGTTCACATGACACACTTGAGTCTTATGTAACATAATTAACCCCCAAAAGACTTAAGTGTTCCTCTACACTCATGTATGCTTTTTCCATATTATAACTCAGAGTACAATAACAATGTGATGAGTTTCACAAACTAGAAACTAGCCCAAAACAAATTCTCTGTAAAAAATTAAATTGAGCAAGATTTTAGTTTTTTTTATATTATTAGTGAGTACACCTGAACAAGAGCAAAGCCAATAGTAATTAAGCCTCGTTCTCGTAGTTTGAGTATATTGGTCAAGATACACTATCTGCTGTAAGGTCAAGATGATCACGGTTCTTGGAAATAAGATCAAGGGTGAATTGATAATCTTTTACATGCTTAGAGGTTGAAAAAAGTGGATGAAGGGAGATTATATATCTACAAAAACAAAACAATTGAAAATGTTCTCAGAGGTTCTATTTGGTTCATTACTTTTATTATCTTTTGGTGTCTTTAAACCTCAAATTATTTCTGATGATATAATTCAAGATTCTTTTAAACTGAGATTAATTTTAGTTTGTCTTCATTGGCATCAATAGTTATGCTGTTTTGAAAAAAACATAATTTAAACTATATTCAATTTGTTCAAATCATAGTTTCAGTTTTTCCTGATTTTATAATATGTAAATTTATTTTTTATTCAATCTTTACATGGGTTTCCTTGTTCACAACTGGTGTCTGCAAGTAATCAGCAGACAAATAAACAATTTCTCAAAGTCCCATCGTAGCATCTCAATTGTATCTCTCTAATGTGATGACTGAAGATGCAATCAATACAGGGATAAAATCCCCCTTGAATTGTTTTCACCATTTCCCATTGCAGAGACTAGATGAACCGCTAGAACTAGATTAGTCCTTATGGTTGAAAAAATAGCAAGTTGTTTATAGTGCTTGCATTCAAATTTGAAGGCTTTGATTCCAATTGGGGTGGTTTAATGAACCAATAGCCAATTTTGGGAGGCAAACAGTTAGTGATGCTATCTATCGAAATTTTAACACTATAGAGACACTATTCTAATTCTATTTTAACACTATTCTAAGTCTATGGTTTATACAGATTCCTTACATAACACAAAACAAATGTGTGTACTTCTAATTAATTGTTGCTATTCTTCTATTTTGTGTCCAGGTCTGATGATGTCAGGTAATGAGATCAGTCAGGTGCTTCTGTCTCTCATCCTCTCCTACTACGGAGGCCAGAGGAACCGTCCGCTGTGGATCGCGTGGGGTGTCGCCTTCTCTGCAGCCTCCTGCTACATCCTCGCTATGCCTCACCTCCTCTACGGCCCAGGGGAGGACGCCCTAGCTCTCACCAAGGAGTACACCAACACATTTAACTCATCTTCATCATCTAGTACGGAAAAGTATTTTTATTAAAAATCAAATCATAGGTGGTAGTATTGTTAGAATTTAAAGTTGAAGTCTAGACGGCAGCTAAAAGTTATTATGAAAGCGATAGATGTTTGTGAATCCGATTTCAAATGATTCTTCATACCATATTGATGTATTCATGATTGTCTAGGTATAAAACAATGACATTTTATGCTGAGTTGTACATTTGATAGTTTATTTCACAGGAAATAGATTAAAGTTTAAGGTAATTAGTTGTTTTAAAACCTCTAAGTTCATAAAAAAAATTATTGCGTGAGTCTTAAAGAAAACTTTGGTATGCTTATAATGCTGATATAATCCCTACATAGTTCATTTGAGTAACATCGTTACAATAAATTACAAATATAAAGTTCCTGCACATACGATCTCATACACGTGTGAATTGCAAGGAAAATCGATTGAAAGAAATGAAAGACTGTTGAAGTCACGTGTGAGGCGATTCTCATTCCACCGACAATCAGTCGCTAATGGTCACCAGTCGCCACAATAGCTCTCTGTCAAAGGATTCTGCAGCCTCACACAAATAGCTGCCAAGGTCAATTCTTCCATTAAGGCCAATTGTAGAAGGGTAATACTTAAGGTGTTTATTCATGGCCGAACATATACTTGATTTAATGGATACTAGGAATACTAGGATCTGGTTTAAAGATCCAGGTAATACGTCTGGTGCTTACCATACGTCCTGCTATTTTGAATTGTCTAGCTTTTTTTTTAAAGATTTGTTAATATTTAACATCTACCCGTGTTATACACTGACAGAGAATGAATTAAATGCTATTGACTGCTTGTTCATGGGTATATATCTGTATACAATTTAGTAATTTATATGTTTTATTGGAGAACTTTTAAATGTAATCATAACAACAAACTGTTTTGCTCCTAACAACGTCTAACTTAAATATACATTAATCAAATGTCATTTACACCGAAGAAGTCTCTAATCAAGATTACAAGCTTACAAATTCTAATTTTAGAATTTTTTGTGCAAAATATACTTACCGTATGATTTTATTGCAAACAGTTTTCTGTAGTTTCTAGGTACGATTTTGTAAAGCTCAAATTACAATTTTAGCATCATCTAAACAGCCACATCTTTTTTTAACAGTTTCAGCTACTTTTCTTAGGGTTTAAGAGTAAAAATTTAAAAACGTACGTTTTCAGGAAAAGCATTTTGCAAAATTTTTTCCCCTGTTTTCAAAACTTTTATTATTATTTTTATTTCATTAACATTTGAAGTTTTATAAAATGTCCATGGTAACGCAATATCTTTGGTATTTTTTTTTTTTTTTTAAGAGCATCTTTAGTGGAAAAACACAAAATCCTGTCACGACCATAACGGACTTTTAAATGAATATTAAAAATAGTTAATATTATTTTTATAACTATGTTTTGCTATAAACTAATTTACTTTTATGACCATTATACAATAAAAAGGTCACTGAGCTTTTGGTATATTTGGTCTTTCTAGAAAAAAATAAAAAAACTCAAAAAATTGAAAAAAGCAAATAAAATCTTTTTAAGTTTGTATAACTCCGAAAAAACTTACCTGAGACCCGAAAAATCGTTATGTTTGTATAGAGGTGTGCTTCTTTTGTGTATAAAACATTTAAATATGATGATATTTTAATTTTTTTAATTTTTATGATAGAAATCATCAACGTGATGGTCAGGGACAAGCGGTAGGGACGTGAATTTTCTGAAATAATCGAAATCTTTCTAAACAATCCTTCAATTATACTGTTAGTTATAATAAAAATAAGTGTTTCAATTGAACTAAACTGTTCAAATTACAATTATATTAAAGTTATTGTCACGACCAAACACCCTATAATCCATAAGGCTGGATTGGTTGTGAAAAAACCTGCGATGGTCGTGAAACTTTGGTCGTGAAATTATGTGTTATTTGGCTCTGTTCTGGCGGTGGCCCTGCACCTCATGTTCGAGGATACAAAGTGGACTTTTAGGTTAATCTAGCAATTGAAATATCTTATAAACAAAAATTAACACCATGTCTACTTCATCGAGTGACTACGTACGGTCATGGACACACCAAAATTACAAAAAACACAATCTTTCCTTTATTAGTCTTGTAATTCCTCCTTTCAACTCGAAACGACCGGCACTACAATCCTGACGTACACCCCGAACTAGTCTCTAAAACCAACTGACTCCATCGACGCCAGGCTTGCCACTGTCGTGCTTCAAAGTTAAAAATTTTTCCCAAATGGTCGTGACGCCAAATCGAGGGACAGACTTATTTTGTCATGGTAGTCAGTTTGCAATGACAATAAAATTATAATATGCTCCTTTTTTGTAAGTTTAATAACCATTGATGACATCAAAATATGGCTTAATATATTTCGGCATGAATAATTAGTCTAAAAACAGCGTGAAAGTTGGAAAATGTACCCTAGGGACACGTCATGGTCGTGAATTTCGAGACTTTAAAAATACAAAAAAAATACCTAGAACCTATTTAAAACCAAATAAATGAGTGTTAACATGTTGCCCCCGTCCCAAAAAAAATTAAAACACATAATAATAAACTACAAATCTAGTATCTACGAAGTAAAAGGCCAGGGACATGAAAACGTACGTTTTTAAATTTTCACTCTTAAACTAATTAATTATTTCAGGAGTTTTCCAAAAGATGGCAAAGATGATGAAACATTTTGTATTTGTTCCAAGAGGATCAGGCATCCCTGTGCGTGAGAGGGGAGGAAGGCGGATCACATTGTGAATTACCCGTGGGTGGAGAGTTCTCAAATATCCCTGCACTGCTGGTATTTTTCTCTCAATTCGTTCTGGGAATCGGAACAACGCTCTACTACGCTTTGGGACAAACCTACCTTGATGACAACACCAAGAAGTCAAAAACTCCTTTGCTTTTAAGTGAGTATCCAGTGTTAAACAAAGCACACCTTTGAAACAATTTTAATTCAGCACTTGGCAAAATAAGGAAAAATGTTTGCATTGTTGTTCAATAACTGTTGAAATGAAATGAAATGAGAACATAAGGAAACTGGAGCATTAGGGACAGAATGTATGAAAACTCAACAAATTAGTCATCTAGCTAGAAAAATAAAAATCACTGCATTGGATTATAAAATATTAGAGTGTTTTGTTCTACACAAAGTCTTCTGTTCTTTTTAGGTTGCCAGTTAAATGTAGGTTTGAGTTCAACGAGTTTTCTACTACACGAGTATATGCATATTAGACAGAGAAATTGAACTAATCAGCTATCAGTAACTTTTTGAGCCATTTTATATTGCATGAAAAAATAGTTCTTGTGGCTTGCAAATGCATTTAATTCTGTATAACAAATGGGATTTGTGCGAAGCAAAATCAAAAAATGAACATTAAATGAATATGCTACGGAAAAGAAACAACATTTTTACACTCCTGCTGATATTCCAATAGTCAATATGGCTAGACTTAAACTGAATTGCATCTCAACAAAGTTTAGGAGTATTATTCTAAGCCTAATTAACACATTACTGAATTTTCAAATATACATGATAATTAATTTTTAATTTCAAACTTATTATGCTGATCTGGTTTCTGCAGGCGATCAACACGTTAAGTAAATATCAAAACTAAAAAGATTAAGTTTTTTACTGAATCATGTTATCTTGTTTCTACAGGTCTCACAATGTCCCTGAGAACGATTGGACCAGCAATTGGGTTCATCGTAGGTTACGGATGCCTCAGACTCTACATAGCACCGACTCTAACTCCCATCATAACCAACAAAGATCCTCGATGGCTAGGAGCTTGGTGGCTGGGTCAGTTTTACATGTTATGAGTCAGAATAATTAGAGATTGATAGTCCAGTCAAGGAATGAGGTGTAGAGTGCGTGAGCAGGTAACTAAGCGATTCCTTCAGAAACTTGTTCAGGGGGCTTAGGGTGTTAACATACCAAAAGTCCTGACTCCTAGGTGGTGAGCCAGGGGGTGGAGGGGGGAAAAAGGGGGGGAAAAGGTACGCATTTTGGGTTTTTTGATTATATCTCGAAAACTATCAACTTTTTGTATACTATAGTAAACTATAAAATTGAAGAAGATTAAATTTTCTACAAGAAAAGTATATAATGTGTTTATTTTGGTTCAACAGATTACGAGTTATAACTTATTTAATTGATATCTTATTAAAATCTTCTTCCATAAGAAATGCATGTAAATTAGCATATGAAATGGGGCGAATCCTATCCGCCCAAAGGAAATATAAATGATATTCTGGAAATCTTGACAAAATTTCCAGTAATTTGACACTTTAATCATTAAAATTGATCCAAAATTAAGGCGAGGGCGAGGTAACAAAGTTTCGAGTTTTGGTGTTTTTTTATTGGAAATATAAAAAAAACCTTAAATCATCCCATTTTTAAACGCTCACCCTCGCTTTAATTTTTGACAAAATTTCATGATTAAAGTGTCAAATTACTGGAAATTTTGTCAATATTTACAGAATATCAGTTATATTTCCTTTGGGCGGATAGGATTCGCCCCATTTCATATGCTAATTTACATGTATTTCTTATGGAAGGAGTATTTTAATAAGATATCAATTAAATAAGTTATAACTCGTAATCTGTTGAACCAAAATAAACACATTATATACTTTTCTTGTAGAAAATTTAATCTTCTTCAATTTCATAATTTACTATAGTATACAAAAAGTTGATAGTTTTCGAGATATAATCAAAAAACCCAAAATGCGTACCTTTCCCCCCCCCCTTTTTCCCCCCTCCACCCCCTGGCTCACCACCTAGGAGTCAGGACTTTTGGTATGTTAACACCCTAAGCCCCCTGAACAAGTTTCTGAAGGAATCGCATAGTTACCTGCTCACGCACTCTACACCTACTTTTGGATAATTCATTGACTGGACTATGAAGGTTCATAGATCCACATTTTTAATTTTTGTACCATATGATTATTTTCCAATAGTGTGTTCATAGGACTGCAGTATACTGAATGATGTACTAGTAGGTAACTGAACTCCAAACTCAATTTCTAAATTCAGGATTTTTTCTTTGGTATCATAAATTCATTTTGATTTTGAAATATTTTTATTTTTAAGTAACAAGAATGAAGATAAGCTAAGTGTGAGTGTGCAAAAAGAATTAAAAACGTGACAAGTCTTAGAGTTGAACAATACTTGATACTGTAAATTAGTCGATTTGTGAATTTATACTGTCTATAAAAGCACCTTTGAAGGAAGAGTTATATTTTTCTCAGGAGAAAATGAGAACAGTGTGGTCACTGGTTGCTACATTTCTCTAGAATTAAGTACAAGTAACAAACCATGTTTTCAATTTTAAAAACAGTATGTTCATGAAGTATATGACATTACTGTATTTGTTTCTTCAACTCAGGTTGGCTTATCCTGGGAACTGCAATGTTGCTGTTTTCATTTCTCATTGCAATGTTCCCCAAGAAGATGCCTCCAAGCAAGAGCAAAGTGGGAGTGATTAAACCCGCAGACATCACCTTAGAAACTGTCCGCAAGACAGAAAAAGAAGTAGAGTTCAAAAACGGAGTCTCCAGAGAGAAACTGGTGACTGAAGTGGAAAGCGAAGCACCTCCAACCTTGAAAGGTATACTTCTTGTGCTGAAATGTTTTATTTTTTATTTTATATTTCTATTGGAAAAAAATAGAAATTTTAGGAAAACATAACATTTCTTTTCTAAAGCTAGTCTTAAAAGAAAACAACAATTAGGGCATAAATTTTTTTATGAGATTTATTGCAGAGATTATCTTTGGCTATCGTCATCAATTAAAAGAAGACCTACCAACAAGTAATACAAATTGATACTGGGATGCAAATAATGATGATTTCTTTTTAATCAAATAATTATCTTTACCTTTTGGAACACTTTATTTATCCACTCCAAATTATTTATGGTTCTATTCTTTTCTTCTTTATAATATTCTGATTCTGTAGAGGCGTCGCAGATTTTTGAAGGAACTGATGTTTAGCTTGTCACTCGGCAGACTAGTGAGTTAGAACTTTTCCGCCACAACCAAAATAATCCTTAACATAATCCTGACAATAAACTGTGCTTGTGATTAATGTATAGGCCACACTATTTTTTCCCTTGTGGGCCTAATCTTAAGGTAAGCTTTGTCCCACTAGATGACATCATTATCACATATAGCTAAAAGTTGAGAAGATTGGCAGGATTTGAACCCAGTACCTCCAAAACATGAGTCCAATGCTCTAATCTAGCCATGCTCCCCTGTAACTGTCTATGAAATCACAAGCAACAGTTTCCTCTTAAAAATGCTGCTAGTGCGCTATACCCACAAAAATTACCATAAATAATCTAGACTTGTATGATTTTCAAATTTTAGAGTTCCCAGCAGCACTAGCTAGATTGCTGAGGAACAAGTTGCTGATGGCCAACATCCTGTCTGGAGTGTTCTACATCCTGGGAGGCTCAGCCTACATCACATACATCACTAAATACATGGAGATTCAGTTCCACCAATCGGCTGCCGGGGCCAGCTTCATCATAGGTAAGTGGTAGATACCATTTCCTTACTTGATCCATCTATCATTTCCTATTTGATGTATTTCCCAGTGACAAGAACTAGAATATTTGTTTATTGAACGTATGTTACCTTATTGCCAACAAAGCATAGACTCTCAACCTGCAAAACCAACCCTTCTCAGCAGTAGGTCAGTGAACAAAGACGGTGACGGTACTAGTGTGATCCCCTACAAGTGTCCATCGCGCGAAGCCGCCGCGACGTAAGCGTACGGTCTGGTGATGTGTATATAAACTGTGTATATATAAAATGTGTAAATAGATCTTCTCATCTCCCTGATGATGCCACACACTGTGGCGAAATATATTGGAGGATTTAACATCTTTCTACAAGAACAAAGGCAATAAGGTAACATACGTTCAATAAACAAATATCATTTCCTATCATCGCCATCATCATCTTCTTCATCATTTTAATCTTCTTTTATAATTTTCTTATCTTGGTTTCATTGGTTGTATCTATGGCTAGGTTGTTGAACTGGCAAAAATATAGGGAATCTCTGACGATTTGTATGCATAGCAGCAATTAGGTAGGTACTCATAGTGGCAAAAATTTTAGTTTAACTGTTGAAGATGGATTACTGCAATACAGCAATCGAACAAGTTTGACAATCTACTTTGACCTTAAAGCTTGGGGTAATAAGATGAATTTGGGTAGAAACCATTAACCTTTTTTCACAATGTAGAGGCCGCCTGCCATTTCTTGTATCCACCGTTTGTTACTGACTCAACCAATGTTATTTTCCAGGGCCAACAGCAATTTTGTCGATGACCTCAGGATTCCTCATATCAGGAGCAGTGATTTCAAAGTTTAAACCCAGACCCACGTACCTATTAGGATGGAATGTACTTGTCGGCATTTCCTTCGTCATCGGAGAACTGTCCTTCATCTTCCTCAGTTGTGAGGACAGTAGTATGGTTGGCTTCAGGGGAGAGAACGAGTAATTAAACTTATTAATTTGGTTATTTTATATTTTCCAATACTGTACAACTGCACAAATTCTTCCTACATTTGCTTTTATGGTTTAAACTTGAGTATCATTTTTGGCATTCTGTATACAAGTTAACTGCTTTACACAAACAAGTCTGCAGTTATTACAGGATCTTCCTCCATGTGCTATGGAAACATAGGAAATCAATTAGAAAATCAATTGACACTCAATATTTTTACAAGATCCGTAATCTGACGCTACAGTACTTGTTATCAGACAATGTCGGTACATTTCTGGAATTATATTATGGTCTGTCATGGTCACCATACAAACACATTAAAAGACGTTACAGAATGGTACCACATTAAATGGTTGATATCACCCAACTTTTCAGGAATCCCCTATGAAGAAAATCCGTTGGTTTGGACTAGAGGGATGTCTCAAATCAAAGGAATAAAATGACCCAACTTGAATTTAATTCACACAGATTATCAGTGAGGCAACAGTGTCTTCATTTCTCCATGCAGGAAAAACTTTGTTGCACATATTTTATACATGTTCACTCAAAATGAAGGAGAGCGTTTAGCATTCATTAGAAGTAATCATGTAAAACAAACTGAGAGCAAAATTTTATGTGAGCATAAAGAGAAGCATGCAATCAGAGATGTTAAAAATCAATTTATAAAAAGTTTTATAATAACTCTAAGAATAATACAGTTACTCTAAGCACAAAGTTTTCCTCAACGTTATGTTTCATACTCATTGAGCCGCACGGATTCCCTAGTACCTTAATAACCTATGAAAGAAATGTAACATTTAGTGAATCCACTTCCAAAAAACGTATAGTTAACATACAAGTAATTACCGTAGTTGTAAACTCAAATGTTATTCTGCTCCTAAAGGCTGCCCCTGATAAACGAGTGCAATAACAACTGTGGCTGTAACAGTCTCAAGTTCAGTCCCGTGTGTCTAGAGCAGGCTCAGCTGAGTTTCTACACAGCGTGTCACGCAGGCTGTCAGCAAGCAGACTACTCAGCTTCACCCATTGTGAGTAGCACGACTGGAAACTGTCATATTCGTTCTAATGTGGTTTATCCCCTATGTCTGGCCGCAGATGTACTTTTATAATTTTCAATTTGTGTTTCTGTAACGGTACTTTGAAAGAATCACAAAATCTTAAAACTTGTCACAGTGTTACCCAGGTACACTTACAAGTTTAAAATTTCTACTCCACTAACCAAATAAAAATTCAATATTTTCGTACAAACCACACAGCTAAATAGTTTTTACCTAAGAATTTCATTAGAGTTCAATTTTAAACTGGACCCAACTGTTCTTGATTGTTGAAATTAAATTCAATGAAAATTCTTCTTTATTGAGGCAAACTGAAGACCGCATGGACCTTTCTTATGGTTAACCTCTATTATTGAGGAAAACTGAAGACCTCATAGGCCTTTCTTACGGTTACCCTCCATAATTTTTTTTTAAATAAATGGTCCTGGCTAATGAAACAGCTGGTCTTAGTCAGGTACAAAGCTACACAAGTCATCAAACTCCGCTTTAACTTACTTTGTACTCATTTTCAGGTTACATTTGTACACAATTGTTGCTGTCTCAGTGATAAAGACTAGCTAAGACCTACTGTTTCTAAACCCATCTTTTTTATGTTTGTTACAGACATTCACCAACTGCTCCTGTATCCCAGATGACGTCTTGTCATCAGTGTCTGGCAGAAAGGATGAGATTGTGCTCAAGACAGGAGCTTGTAGAACCAACTGCTACTACAACTTTGTCATATTCATAGGCATCACCATGGTCATGCACAGTCTCGGTAGTTCAGGGAAGATAGGGAACGTTCTAGTCAATTACAGGTATGTGGAGACCCTTACTAATTAAATTATTCCGCTCACTGATATTTTGTATGTAATATCTCAAATGGGAACAAGGAATAAATAATTACCTATAGTTGTTTTTGGAAATATTTTTTTTTACTTCTGAACACTTTTGAAGAGATTTTTTGTCTAGAGGCGTTTACAGTGGGAACTTCCATCATATGCTGGCTACATAGGTTGGAAAACAAAATAAGTTAAGATAATCAGAGGATGAAGATAGCATTTAACTCATTTACAGTAGGATGAATAGGAATGAGACTGGCTGGTTAGAGTATAGGGCTCATAAACTTGAGAGCCTTCAAATCTTGTGTATGTCCAATGGTAATTTGGTCAATGCCACAATACAAAGACCCAGTGGTTTTGAACTAAAAACCTTGAAAGTGTTGGAAATATGATACTATCGTGAATCAGGTCGATATGGTCTTCTGTTCTAGTCAGATATTTTTAGATGATTTGCATCTCATAGTCAGATTTTAAGTCCTAAGTTTTAATTAGAACTAAAAACCTTGAAAGTGTTGGAAAGATGATACTATCGTGAATCAGGTTGATATGGTCTTCTGTTCTAGTCAGATATTTTTAGATGATTTGCATCTCATAGTCAGATTTTAAGTCCTAAGTTTTAATTAATAGAATAAAGTTTCAAATCACAATATTTTTAAAACCAAATTATCAAATATGATCAATTAATTGAAGGTTTAAGAGGTATTTCTATGTTATGTATATTTTAACATCATATTAATATGATATTAAACATGCATGACTACTTGTTAAACAAATATAAGAGTGCTAGAGAACAAAGCTTTGTTGAAATAAGTTGACTTTTAAGCTTAGCATTAATGAGTTTCAATTCATTGTTTTCATGTAGTTAATTTGTTTTTTTACAATGTTTGATTTGTCTTATGTTTCAGAGCGGTGGCTGCAGTAGACAAATCCTTCGCTCAAGGGCTCGGCCTGCTGATGGTCAGTCTGTTCGCCTTCATCCCAGGCCCAATACTTTACGGAGCGATGATAGGTGATTGTGACTTTTAAAAGTACTTAAATACTGTACAAGCATTAGGAGTGTAGTTGCTGGCAATTAGCCTAATTACCAGACAAAATTGACCACAGTGCATTACAGTGAGTGGCCTTATGAAGTGTGGACTAAATTTGTTAGTTTATAACGCCACAGTAGTTTCTGTCACCTATAAATTTGCCATACATTTAGGACTTTTTGAAATAATAAAATATGAGAATCTGAATCAACAAAAATTGTTTACTTCAATAATATATTTCGTATCTAGGGGCGAAAATATTTTGGCGGCTCGAGATAGTTTTTAAGTTCAAGAAGAAGTCGAGAACTTAACCCTAGGAGTGGCGAGATTGATTTTCAGTATGTGCTTTGTGGAGTGGCACGGTCATTTTGATGAATTTGTAAGGGAGTTTTTCAAAAATCTGTATAAAATTAGTATGTAGAGATAAACTATTGAACCGTATATTCATTTTGTTCGTAATAGTCAGTAGAATTCAAAAATGGTAATACAAACCAATTTTAGAAAGGTTGATTTTTAGAAAAAAGTAAAAAAAAAAAGAAAATTTATAAATTTTTCAAATTTTATTTCAAAAGCAAACACGTGTCACATGTAACGTAATTTTCTATTGCACAATTCAAAATATGCATTTTGTTCAGAATTTATTCCTCTACATAGACATATCATAAATATACACAAAAGAATTATTTTCATAGATTTACTAGCAATAATACGGAAAAATTGGAAAACGTCAATTTCTTCAACTACACGTTGATAGATCCACAAATGCCCCCTACTTATAAATCAATATGATAAAACCATACATTTTTTGAAGCCAATAATATCATTCTATATAAGAATAACTAAATAAGATAAGTAATAGAATATTTGGTTTTCACAAAAGCAAAAATGTAAACAAAACAACTGATCAGCTGTTATAGCCCACAAAACTTCACTAACTTTTTATCCTATTTTGGATCACACATGTATAAATATTTATGCAAAATAATGCATAAATATTTTGCCTAATACAAAATAAAAACATAAAACGAACATTACACTGTAAAATAGGGATAAAACCCACACTTCGTCTTTGTTATCGGACAAAAACTCACGACGACGCCGCCATTTTAGGTTAGACAATGACAAGTGTTCTGTTCCTTTAGCTTTGAAAAATCAAAAGCTTCTATTTGTGTGACCAGCCTAACAACATTGAATTCTACTGTCCTTCGTCTACAAGAGCGTATATAAAACAACGTTTTTGTACTTTTCACATTGTATATATATGCGATTTAGAAATCGACATTTTATGTCGATCCGCCACATGAACAATACGTAAAAATAGGCTATTTACAAAAATTGTTCATCAGCTGTTGGAATATATTTTGACGTTATACTTTATACAGAATAAAAGATTTCTTCATGCTTGTTACAGTGGTACCACTTGCTTTTATCACAGACAAAAATTACGTCTGCTATTTAGTTTTGAAATGACTCATCATTGACGATTGCGCAACAAAACATGGCGTTCGCGAGTTCGCGCGTATTTTTCGTTTAAATGTAACTCATTATAAGATCGATGTATTTATGTTATAAGGTTTATTCTTATAATAAAATGAAACTTCGGAATCTTATCTTTCCATTGGTATAAGAGTTATGTCATTTCACCGACTTTAAATGGGCTTAACATGCAACTGAAAAAAACGTTACATAAATCGACATATTCTGTCGCCCGCCACTCCAGCGGCACATTTTGAAATCGACATTTTCTGTCGATCTGCCACTCCTAGGGTTAAAAGATCGAGAGCTGCAAAACCATTTCGGTCTGTGGTACGGACGATATTTTTCACCACACTATACCCTATTACCACTATTCACCACAATAATAATACACACTAACAGTCAACACAACTAAACCTTTAAGGTTTTTTTTAGAAATAATTTGAGGAATCAGAGAAAATAATAATAAATAGTTGCTAAGCAGCGATGGAAATAAAACAAGTCTTTAATTATTGAGCGTTTGTTACCTTATAGCCTTTGTACAGGGTGAGTCAGTGAAACGGGCTATTTTCTTATAACGTTAGTGAATAGAGGGGAAGAAGGAAAGGGGCCGAGTAAGTTACCCTGCGTTCCCAACCTCTGGAAGTTTAGTTGCCATACTTAGTTGCCATACCATCAGCAAAATATGCAAGATGGCCCAGAGCTAATTCACAGCCTATGGATGAGCGATGAGGCTCATTTTCACTTAACGGGATGTCAATAAGCAAATTTTTGATATTGGTCGGTCCACAAGCACTTCATGAATGGCCAGTTCACTCTAATAAAGCTACGGTTTGGTGTGTCGTTTCTTCCCTTGACATGAAATGGGGATATTGCTTGGCCCCCTTGATCCTCTGACCTCAGCTCCTGCTTTTTTGTGGCTTGACTAAAAGTTTAAGGAGTTGACTCTGATATTATTTTCAAGACTTGATGCTTGTTTTGTTGGTTCAACACAAACTTCCACTCATTTACTAAGTTTTTTAATGAATTAATCGATCGTATGATGTTTGACCTTTTTTTTATACTTACCGAAAAATGGCCCGTTTCACTGACTCACCCTGTACTTGCAGAAAGATGTTAAAATCCTCCAATGTAATTCACCACAGTGTGTGGCATCCTCAGGGAGACGAGAAGAACTATTTACACATTTTATATACAGTTTATACCCACATCACAAGACCGTACGTTCACGTCGCGGCGACTTCACGAACACGAGGGCGGGCGCGGACGCGCAACGGACACCTGTAGGAGGATTTTAACATCTTTCTGCAAGAACAAAGGCTATAAGGTAACAAACGTTCAATAATTAAATATTCTAGCTCTTGCCACTGGGAAATACATCAATAAATCATCAAAACAAGTCTGTTGCAATTTTATGGGTACAGTACTGACTACTGATTGTGTAAGAAAGTGAGCAAACAGCTAACTTTCGGCCCTAGGGATGTAAAAACCTGCTCGGTCCCCAAATCACCACGACAGCAATACGTAGCTTTCAGCCTCCAATAATCATTTTGTAAAATGGCTAAAAAAATCATAGTGTGGTGAAAATGTATTTTAAGCTAAATTCTCTTTCCTGACACCCTCAATGTATGATTGCTGCAGATTCTACTTGTCTGGTTTGGGATGAGACTTGTGGCAGAAGAGGCAACTGTTGGCTCTACGACAAATACAGGCTACGTTACTCACTAAACGTGACTTCAGCTTGTGAGTAGCATTGACATGTTTATCTTTACAGTTTCTGAAATCAATTTCAATGGTATTCCAAACTGTTATGCATTGGAGTTAAATTAAGATGCATTTCATCTGTTCTTTGGAGGTGGGACGGCTTTTTTGAAAATATTGTTTCAACAATTGAAAAATAACTGTGGCACTTAATTCTTTCTCTGAAAACCATGTTTTGTTAGTGTATTTATATTAGTTATATCAAATGCAGCATTATGTACCATTTTAGTAACACAAGGAAGGGTGAACCTTTAACTATTTGGGTGGAATGAATCCACCACGCTATACAGTAGACACCGCTCAACCCCATTCTGACATCAGATGTATGTAGCAGTTGGAAGATGAAACGGGGAAGGTCAGACAATCCAGACAATCCACCAAACAGCAGTGGTCTAGTGCAAGACTATGAAACAAACATAATCAATCATTGCCCTTTTAAGAGTCTTCCTAGTGGATTTCCCAGTAACTATATGAAGTTGAATGCATTAGCCCAGTGGTTTTAGCTTTGCAGGAGGTTTTTCTTGGAGTTTCTTCTGAGACATCAATACAAGTAGTGCATTCCCTGAAAGCTTTTTCACAACTTAGATTACTTCTAAGTTTCTAAACAATGGCAGGGAAAATATAGTAGACCTAAAAAGGTTAATAAAAATAAATTTGAGTTTGAGTTTGTGCTTCATTTGTAACTTTAATACTGTTTGAAGTTTGACATATGACAATGATAGACAATATATTTGTTAACTTTCAGGTTTAACACTGATTGGGGTCCTGTTTGATGCGTTGGTGTGCTATCTCGGTGGAGACCTGAAGCTGTACGAAGATGAGGAAGATTCAAACAAAAACTCATTAAACTCAACAGTAAATGGAAAACATGAAGTTTTACCACCCAATGATAAGCCTGAAAAGGCGTAACTGTGATATTTTTTTACTGTGTTTGTATGATTGTACCTGGACTTAAAAAATGGATTTGCGTTTGCATGTAGGTTTTACTACTTTTTAGAAGTTTGACATTCAAGGCTACATAGCAAAAACTCTTTATTGGGATATTACCATAGACTAACCAACACAAGTAGACTTCTCATCCCATTGTAAATTTTGAAGCACTTTTTCGTGTCTAGTTCATGTGCGTGACACAAAGGCGCTAGTGTCGATGAAACTTTGTTTCCATTATTTTAGGGTTAATTTCTTGATTTGCGCTTTACTGTTTGGTTATATAACTAGGGGACAAGTTATTGTTTATGATTAGATCGTATTATTTGGTTAAACGAGGTTTTAAATGGCTGTAATAACGGGAAACAAATTGTAAACAAAACACGACCTCTACATAAACCGTACATGAACTAACAATAAAATTGTCTTCAGCTGTTCCATAAGGATGAGAGATCTACTAAGGGAGTATGTTTTATCTATGATATTACAATCACAATAAAGGGTCATAATCTATTTGTAAAAATTACCAAAATTAAAAACTTGTTTTTAACAACCATCTCAACACATTCCATGTACAATAATTTAACTGTTTTAAAAATGTACTTAAGATAACTGTGTTAACCTGTAAATAATTATCTGTAAATATTTGTTGATTTATGTAGACTAGTATTTAGCTGTAGTTCAAGAATCGTAAAATTAAATAAGTTTAGTAATAATTTTATTTTTATTTTTTCCCTGCTTTTTAAACTCACATAGACAATAGACATATGACTTAAAGTTTTAAAATCTCTTTTCTACCTACTTGGCCATGTATAAAACACATGAAGGCGGTTTGATTTGAATCCAAGCAAGACTCTTTCTAGACCCAGATGACATTTGTCATTGGGCTATGAATTAATGATGCAATCTAACCAAAGGTCGACATTAAACAAGACCAGGGTTCGGACCGTTCCCTATCAAAACATTAAAAAACACCACTGGCGTAAAAACACACAAAAAATGAATAAGCAAACCTAAAGCTGCGCGCGCACTACGGCGGCACGGCAATTTTTAAAAATTAATAACATTGAATGTAATATGAGTGCGCCCACTACGGCGGTACGGCCGGCAATAGACGTTCGGCAGCTTCCGCCGTTTGTTAAAAAGTCCGGGAGACAGAACTCCAGGACATTTCCGAGCTGCCGTGACGCCCGTACCGCCCGTACCGACCGGGAGCACTGCACACCGACCGGGCGGGCGGCACGGGACATCCGCCATTCTCAACTGATCTCTGTCAAAGTAGCAGTGTTTTCGTGTGTTGTAAACATAGATGTTAGTAAGTTGATTTTTCTCGTTGAGAAATACCCGAAACTGTACAACATGCGACTTTCGGAATATTTTGATAACGTCCGGCGTGATAATATATGGGCAGAAATATGATCTATTATGAAACAATCAGGTAAGTTTTACACATAATCCTTCTACAAGATCAGGAAACAAGGTGTGGAACTCTCCAAAACTTAGTATTTTCCTGTTTATGTGGTGTATCTAAAATCTTTGCTTGCACCTTCTTGTCTCCTCTTCCTCTGCTAAAATTAAACCTACTATCACCACTTTATCTACATCCATCTTTACTCAAAATTTTTAGCTCGCAGACTGTCAACTGTCCTAAATTGCGGATGTGCGGATGTCCCGTCCCGTCCGTCCGTGCCGTGCCGCCCTAGTGCGCGCACCCCCTCTTAAAAATGCCGTCCGTGCCGTGCCGCCGTAGTGCGCGCGTAGCTTAAATGTGTGACTGTTGACTTGTTGGTATCGGAATTAAACTTTTTGTCAAACATATCTCGTGTAGTAGATTATCTTATGGAAAAAAATCTGTAAAATATTTTAAGTATATAAAAGATTGTATTTTTGGAATCACATTTACACATTAAACATCAATAACCTAAAGGAACGCTCGCAATTCAAATAAATGACATTCAGGTATTCTATTCCAATTCACACAGCTTCAACTTCCATTGCTGTTCCATTCTGTTCTTTAGTAGGGTCTATCAACTTCTGATATGTTGCGTTTGGTACCTCAATACTTAGAATGTCAGTAGTCCTTATTAGTGCATGAGGAGCGGTCTGTGAAGAAGGTTGGGTCAAGTCCTTAACAAAAATCTGGAATGCATCCAAGTCACAGCCACCAAACTTAGCTGACGCCGTTGTGTTATCAAAGAGTTGAATTTCGCAGTCCTTGTCTGAAATTGAATATTACATTGTTAGAGGAAACATAAGCAAACAGACACTAAGTTTAGATGAATCAATTTTTGTAAGCTAATTCAACAAATAAAAACGGTAGGCCTACTTTGGTATTATACGGAGAGCTCCTTTATACAGCGTGCTGCGGCGGATATGTTAGGTTGAGTTATAATAAATAGAAGGTATGACTCATCTGGTATCGTTCGATTCATAACGAAACAAGAAAAGTTCTACAAACATATGATAACTCAACCTAACATGACCACCGCAGCGTGCTTAACTGCAAAGAAATATTAATACCCGAAATTCAAAATCTTATTTCAGAAACAATTTTTGAAATTTGTTTAGTAGAAATTCAAAAAGTTTTGTTTAAAAAAAAGTTAGGCTACTTATAATTGGCTGTTATAGAAATCCCATAAAACAAAACGAATCAGAATTTATTGAAAGATTAAATACCATGCTTGAAATTCTAAGTTCAAAATTCAAACATACAATTTTTGTTGGTGATATAAACATTGATATGTTGGATAAAAGTTACAATAATAGAAATAGATTATTGCATATTGTAAAAGCTAATGGATTTAAGTCATTAATTGATTTTCCCACCAGAATCACTGAATCAACTCAAACCGCAATTGATAATATTTTTACCAATTTAGAAAGCAATTATTACAGAGTTATAGGAATCAACACTCAACTCTCAGACCATGATGGTCAAATTCTTGAAATTATCAATAATAGTGAAGCCACCAAATTAAATATTGGTTCAAAGGTCCATTTTGAGTATAAGAGGAAATTTAGCGATGCAAATATTAATCAATTTATTAGGGCACTGGAATTTGAATCATGGGCAAACCTTTACTCATCACCGGTTGAAAGAAAGTATGATACATTTCATCTCATTTTTATGTATCATTTTGATAATTGTTTTCCTGAGACTTTGATAAGACAACATTCTAACAAAAAATGGATCTCTAATGAATTGAAGTTAGAAAAACAAAATATAACTAATTTCAGCAAATTGGCTAGAGAAGTTAATTGTAAAAAAATGTTTAAGAAAACTAGGGAAATGAACAAAAATTTCAGAAAACGATTGTACACTGCAAAGAAAAATTACTATAAATCTGTTATTAATAATTCAAATAATGTAAATAAAACCACTTGGAAGATTATCAACTCAGAAGTAGGAAATAAAGCAAAGGATATACAAAACATAATTTTAAAATCAAATGACATTGTATGTACTGAGCCTTCTTTGGTTTGTAACCAATTTAATAATTATTTTGCAGATTTAATTGAGGACACTTCAATATGTAGTATGGAGCAAACTCAAGTTGAGACAGAAAATAGTTCAGAAAATGATCTGTTGTTAATTAGTACTAACAATTTTAAATTTAGCTTTGTTGATGAGAAAGAAATTGATTACATTTTAAACCACCTAAAAAATTCTTTTAGTACAGGATATGATGGTATTCCTGTGGTACTCCTAAAAAAAGCAAGATTCGTATTACTTAAACCAATCACTCACATCATTAACTCTTCATTAATTTCTGGTATTTTTCCTGATAAACTTAAATTAGCAAAATTAAAACCGCTTTTCAAAAAAGGGGACAAGTACTTAGTTTCAAACTACAGACCAATAGCATTGCTTCCCGCTATTTCTAAAGTTTATGAAAAAGTAATCTATAATCAACTAGTAAATTTTTTTGAAAAGAATTGCCTTTTTGAAGAATGTCAACATGGTTTCCGCAGTGGTAGATCTGTAATAACAGCTGCCACAAAGTTTGTTGAATCTATTATTGATAGTTTGGACAGTAAATTGAAAGTGGTAGGATTATTTATGGATTTAAGTAAAGCCTTTGATTCAATATCACATGACCTTTTACTTTCAAAGCTAAGCAAATTAGGGATAAAGAACAATGCATTAAAGTTACTGAAGTCTTACCTTTCCAACAGAAAACAGTTTGTAGAATTAATTCACCAAAACAACAAAAACTATAAAATTCATTACCGATCCTCTATTAGAGATGTGAAATTTGGAGTGCCTCAGGGGTCCATCTTAGGCCCTTTATTATTCATTTGTTACTTTAGAGACTTTCCCCAACTCAGTGACTTGAGTGAACTTTGCCTATATGCCGATGATACTAATTTGAAAATCACTGCAAAATCAAATGATGAAATTGAACTTAAGGCAAATTCCGATATAGCAGTTTTAAATAATTTTTTTAATTCGAATAATTTGCTTCTTAATCCAGATAAGACAAATTTCATTAGTTTTCAAACTCGAGAATTAGGTGATCAAAATAAACCAATCATCAGACTCGAGAACACAGAAATTCTAAGTATGGACAACATGAAATTCTTGGGATTGGTAATTGATAAAAATCTGAAATGGAACAGTCACGTTGAAAAGTTACTTGCCAAAATCACATCGGGATTATTTGCTTTATCTAGATTGAAACCCTTTTGTGAAAAACAAACTTTAAAAGTTATATATTTTTCATATATCCACTCAAGTATATCTTTTGGGATTTCACTTTATGGTGCAACTAGTGATTACAATTTGAATTCTATTCTAAAAAAGCAAATGAAAGCTATTAGAATTATCTGCAATTTAGATTTTGAAACTTCTGTTAATAAAGAACATTTTAAATCGGAAAATATAATGACAATTTACGGAATGTACGTTTATGAAACAATTTTATCAGTAAAGGACAGACTTCATGATTTGGAACGAGTTGGGGATAGTCATAATTATTTCACCAGAAATCGGGAAAACCTTGCAATTGGCCACCATAGTCTAAAACTTTTTGAGAAAAAACCCATGTATGCGGGATCAAAATTTTATAATAATCTTCCAATTGAAATTAAATCAGAGACTTCCAAAACAATATTTAAAAATAAATTAAAGAGATTTCTCATCAGCAAGGCTATTTTTTCTTTTGAAGAGTTGAATAGTCTTTGAAGTCAAAAACAAATTCAATTTATGTATTTTTTGTTTAGACTTAAAAAAAAATTAAGTTTGTAAAATTTTGTTTTTATTTTATTATGTTAGAAATGTATTTCATAACTATTAGGCCTAAACAACTGTTGACACTATTCAATGTATTATGTACAGGAAATGAATAAAGTGGTTTTGAATTGAATTGAATTGAATTGCTGTAAAATAAATGTGGCTGTCGGCTGTCGTATAACACCAAAGTAGGCCTACTAGAAAAAATCCTAATTGATTTTGTAGTCATTGAGACATCACTGAAAAAAATCCTATCAAGAAAATCATAAAAAGAATTAAGCTAAGTGGCTGTATATTGGCACGATAGCAATTTAAATGGTGAGTGGCCAGCACGAATGTTGGGACGTGTGGAACCAAGGAAGCGAAGTTGTAGGTACCGTTAGGCCTACTTAAAAATCTACTAATGCTGTTCATTGTTGTGGACTGGCTCACAATGTGATCACTAGATGCAATCCACTCACAGTCT